GATGATATCTTTTTTAGCAGACCAGCAGGCTGTGTGGTCCTAGTATGAATTATTTGGAGGACAATTCCAGCTGGCCAATGCACCCAAAATCAAGCGTTTTGGACCGGAATTGAAAAAGTTATGAGTATTTTCAGAAATCAAAAGTTTCTCTAAACACTAATGAGCCAAATTTCAGTGCTTGTTACCGGTTGTAATTGGATGATTGTGAAGGTTTATTGTTAGTACACTTATTAATATGGACTGTAAAAATACGGAAAAATATGCAGAGTGAAGTTCTCAACGCAGGGAACAAGATGCATATTTTTATTCATTTTTTGCTCTCCTCCTGGCCTCTCAATATTTTTGTGTATCAATAATTTAATTTTCTGCCCAGAAAATATTATCTTTCTTGTAGTGTCATTCAAGTTAAAGGCAAACCGTGTTCGCTGGCAAAACTGGATAAAACTCCCAATTCCTACTGTGAATTTCAGGGTTTACACGTCTTAATCATTCAAATCCCAGGTTCACGTGTTCCACCCCAATTTCTACGTTGATCAAGGACCCCTCACACCCTTTTCACCTGCACACTCTCAAAACGCTTGTTAAATTTGACATCCTGGTGAATGAGCAATATCACAATTCGGAAATCTTGCCTCTTTCTCTACCTTTCAATCCTCAGAAGAAACTTACATAGTACAGTGACTTACCTAGTAAAATTCATCATCATTTAGTCTCCTTCTTCATTAGCAATCTCAGAATCTCTATCAGAAAAAAGGTTTTTGAATTCAAAAGGTACTTATATCATCAATCACACCGTTCTCCATACTTCAACCGAATTTCTAACATCTGTTGGTTTTTGTGTAGGCAATGATTGATTCTGTCTGAATCAAATTCACAATTCTAATAATTGCTAGATGTAAGACAATCGAATTGTCTCGAAATCAAGTCTCACCCGAACTCATGCTAGACAACCTTCTCAAGTGGCCAACTAAAACAAATCACCAATCGCGAGCAACACTTGATTAATGATTTACAAGCTCTGTCTCTCCTGTATTTCTAGGAGTTTAAAGCATCGGATTCGGAATTAGTGATTGGAAAAACAACCAACAATCAAACAACTACAGAATCAAATGCACTTTTACGATTACAATCTAGATCAACTCCACATTTGTCTACCCGCCGTTTACAGCGCCACGAGAAATGACATTTTTCACATCGACATCGTATCATGGACGCACACTTTGGGCCATGTCCATGCCATCGCTTCAATCAAACCCACCATTGAACACACCTAAAAGGACCCAGATTCTGCTTCCCGAGTTTCAAGCTCTTGTTGTATTTGAATTGAGGAACAGTTAATCGATCTGTAAACAGCAGGCATAAAGTAGGATTTGATTCTATCATTTTGTTGAAACTAAACTTACCTCTCCTTATCCTATTTTCTGTTATTCTTTCAGGTTCAGGTTGCTGATTAAAATTGACCTCGCACTCAACATGGGTTGATCACAGGATTTTTAAGTTATAGTTTGTTTCAGAATTTCTTTGCTATATCACGAGCGGGAAAAATCATCAAGGGATCATCTCATGACTGATTGTCTGATATCACTCACGTCTCTCAAGATCAGGTGCAATCAATGATCAACTCACTGGACAGTTGTTGTGCAATCTCACTGCCAACGGATTCAAGTCAAGTGTCAGTTCTACGACCTGGTCGCTGATCAAATTATGTCCACAGCATCTCTCATGAAGATATCAACTCCAACGGAATCATCAATATGAATAGATGTCAGTATAGCTAGATCACCACATAATCAATATGGTGGTTTGAATTATGACAAACCTGATTCAATCCATTTAGTTCCTCCTGGTTTACATCACATCTTATTAGGTATGGATTGTAAAACTATGTCAGTTGCTTGGGAGACTTCTCAGAATGGTTCTTTAAGGGTGTTGAGCGTAAGTTTAGTTTACCTTTTACCCCACAGATTTCTTCCAAATCAATATTCCAAAAGCTCCTCAAAGATCGCTAATCTGCATGTATGCATGCCTCAGATTGAGGCACATGGTGTTTCAAACAAAATGCATCTCTGGATCACCATGACCATTATTTACTCATCATCATCACTTCTATTGTCTTCCTTTTTTAGTCTTCATAGTGACCAACATTCAAAGAGCTGATGCGCTTCGCTGCTTTGTTCTTCATCGCTACGGTGATATATGGAAGCGGACGCGCGAGAATGAAGCTCATACATTGCCTATCAAGTTACTCTACTCGAGTTGAACGAACATCAAAGCGACACTCAAGAAGATGTTTGCTGGCTCTCAAAACCTTCTGGATGTATAGTTGTTTATTTTATAACCAGACTTCCTGGGTCAATTAGCTTGTGCTGTATGTCTAAACAGCAACGGTCCCCTGCTCAGACTAGAGCATGGCCTTAGAGCATTCCCGAATTGAATTCTCAAAAGACATAAATTGTAATACTATATCAACATGTCCTTCCAATATCTGATTTCACCAGTTTTACCTCCTCGAGTTTGTAGACTATGCAAATCACCAACCAATCTTTTGAAATCAATTCAAAAACCTCTCCAAATTGGTATCAAACATTCAATAGGAAAATCTACAAATTTTGACTTATCTCAATACACATCATCTTTTTCAACTATAAATACATCGGCTCAAGTCACTTCTTCATCTAACTCTTCAATCAAACCTTCTTCAATTGGAATACTTGATTCTAATCATCATATAGGCTTTGCCACAATACTTACAAGACCGAGTTCAACAGATGAAGATTATGACGAGATTCATGAAAAGTTGTCATCCACAGAAGCTGAAGAAGGAGTCACAAGGAATCTTTCTTTAATTCGGATCACAGAGGCAGCAGCTTGAGTAAGTTTTTTTAGATGAGCTAACTAAGTCATCTGATTGACCTCAGAGGAGGAAACCTCAGAGTAGCATGGATTAAAGAGCAGGAGTCGAAAAGATAAACATAAACAAATTAGTTGATGCGGATCTTCAGTCTACTCTGAATTTCTTCAATATCTTGAAGATGAAGCCTTTGTTTTGACATCTCCTCAGTCTGACTTAGACCCTTGTTGTATTGGGAATTTCTTTTTAGCAAATTTGATATATAAAAGAATTGGATCAAAATCCATCAATTTTATTACGATTAGCTGTTGAATGTGGTGAGTGTCATGGATTTCAATATAAGATGAATTTTCCAGATGTGATTGACTCAGATGATGAGTCAGTTTGATTTTATTTCTTGAACAATAGAACAGAACCTTTGTCACTAATCCATATTTTTTTTGCTCTAGATTCTTAAACTTCACTCAGAGTTATACTGTTGGGCATTGTCAAGTTGATAGAGCACTTACTAGAGTTGGCCTTGCTTCTTTAACCTTTACCAATACATGTATCAAACAATGATACTGATCAAACATCTCCCTGACTTAGATTACACCTGTAGGTGCATTCTGTATAGTCTTCACTGACGGACACCAATTTGATCATTTCACAGGTCAAAGACTTTTTGAATAGGCCTCATTTCACACAGTATCTTTGGTTGAGACTGGTCTTATTATATTGGTTTGGAAGGTTCAGGGGTGGGCATTGAACTTAGCCCTTTGTGGGTCATGAACAAGCATCCTTTTTGAGATAACTGGAACTATGTTCCAAAGGTGGGAAAGAACTGTAGTCTCAAAAGTGTGTTTTGTGGCACTATTTGTGCAAGAGGGGTGCCCATTCTTGGCTATATAATACATGGCTGGCCACAGTGACTCCTCTTTGCATGTCCGTGCTTTGATTGGAAGGTTGCATAGGCATTTTGAGATTGCAGCTTCCTATTTATTTGTGTCAGCCAATCTATTGAAGGTGGCAAACAGGTAGGTGAGGCAAAGGCAGGCCAGGCATTGGGGATCTGATTGGAGTTTTGGGGGAAACCAAATTGGCAAGTCAAAATTGTGTGATATTTGCACACAAGGCGTTTGTTTGTGCAGGGGGTGTGGTTTGATGGACTGTATTGTAACTGGTGCAACCTGGTAGCCTGTTTAGGTTGGCGTAGCTTGAGGCTGAGGCGCAAAAATATCAGTGTTAGAAACAATAAGTTTCATATGGTCAGTCCCGCGGCGTAGATCAGAAAGCCAATAGTCTGGGGAGAGGCAATATGTAACCAGATGATCTTGAGTTCTGATGACAAGAGGAAAGATGTAACTATTGCGCAAGGACATCCTCAGTGTGCAGGTTTCTATTCTGCGGCAGCCTGAGAGAAATGAGGAGTGTTGTCTCAGTGAGCTGGGGGTCAAGGCCTGGGCATGTAGAAAGACAATCATGTGAGGCAAGATCAAGGATGAAAGGAGAGGGAAGGGTGGAGGTGGGCATCAACGTCACTGCGGGGATCATAAATGCATACAATCTGACGTAACTCATTGAGGCGGCGCCCGCCGCTGATGTTGCTAGTATGGAATTAAAAAAGGGTGTGATTAAAAATCTTAGACTATAAAATTTACAAAATCAACAACCAACAAATTTATTCTTAATGCAAACCACTTTCATTGAAGTCTTCCTCCATGTCATCATCATCCACTTCATCCAGAAAGACCAGGTGATTAACTTCATCCGCTAGGTCACCCACCTGACCTATGTCATCCTCCCCACGCAACATATGTTGCTCAAACAATTCCAGCTCATCCAGTGGAGTTGCTTCTATATTCTGAGCTTTCACAATAAACTCCCAGGTTGATTTACACCTACATACCAACCCTTCCCAGCGCTGGATCAATGAGCTAATTTCCTGTGCTGTTGATGTTGTGTGTTGATAGGTTCTATGGAGAAATCCCACAAGATCTACATCCCATATCATCCAAGTCCTGCAACACTTCAGACGCAGATGATCATGCAATGATCTCAACACTGCCACATTCACTTCCCAAACATCTTTTGATACACGCTGCCCAGGCTGAACCAATTCAATGAGCTGTCTACCACCCTCTCCCGGATCATAATCTGTGAGATTTTAAGAAACATCAGGAACACCAAAGACAAATTGTTCAATAACACATACTACTACTGACCACTACTACACAACGCAAGTAAGCCATCAAGCTTTTCTTCAGTCTTCAAAGCTTGATACACCATCTGCTGAGTTTCCCGGCCAATCCTTTGTAGTTCTTCACTGCAACTCCTATGCTGTAAAAAGGCCTGGATTCCGTCAATGGTGGGTGGATCTACAGCCCACTTCTCAGTAGGATGAGAAAGTGCGTCCACATTCCAGAAGATATCCTCAAATGGTAGCTTTTTGGCTTCATCAAGTGATGGACAAGCCATCCTTGTTACTGGGCGAATTGAGTTGTAATCTGACACTTAAGATTCATAGGATTCCCATTTTCGCCTAAACATCAATTGCTTCTTTGTCATTAGAGTTTTGAGACCTTGCTGCGCTTTAGTTCCTAGAAATTGATACAAACAAAAATTCATTTATTAGAAGAATGCACTCTACAATTTTTTCAATTGTAAACTAAACACACTTACCTTGACCACCCTTATCCCACTTTTTTTGGGCTTCTACTATTCCCACCTTAGCCTCATATAGCTTCATCTTTGCCAACAGCACACGTATGAGTGCCTCCACTTTTGCACCTTCATAAATTTAATTCCCATTTCAATTAAAAGTGCAGACAAATGTTCAAGACTTTCAAAGTGAACTCACCAGTAGGCTCCCGGAGGCGATTGAACTCAGGTGTTCCCAACTCCAAAGTGATATCAGCCACTGCCTTTTTGAGTGAGACAATTGAAGATGGCAATGTTAGAGATTTGTCCATCTCAGCTTCTGTCCGAGTTCCTCTGCGCTTCCTCCGAAGACGTGAAAGTTCATGTCTGCGAAAAAACAAAGTCAACAAAAAACACTCATCCCAAAAAAATTGACGTAATTTACTGTGCATCTTTCACCTGCTCTTCCAGGTTGAGAAGCTTCACCAGATGTTCCTCTAGCTTCTGTTGTATGCCATGTTCTTCCATGGCAGCCAGCTGAACCTCCCTCTGCCGCTTCCACTGATCTGAAAAATAGCCATACGTAAAGCTGGCATCTTGAGATTCAAGGCTTTGGAGGGTCTGAGATGCCTGATCAAATCTCTTTTCTGCCATCTTCAGTTTCACCTGAGTTGAGAAAACTGAACTCTTGTTGTCAACATCTGATTCACATTTCTTGTACAAAAAAAACATACCTGCATTTTGGCATCAAGTCTCATTTCCATGACTTGACTTCAAATCGATGGCATCAACTCGATGTTGCTTTGTGGCACATCTATTTGGTGCTACCGGAGGTGAATTTTCTGCCCATATCCGCTCACAACCTTCGCCATCTGACAATCTGTTGCCCACGTTCAGTCTAGATTTATATTTAAGCTGACAAGACCACTCGTGAGCATATGCATGGAAAGCACTTGTAGCAAAGCGCAGATCCCCACGATTGGTTTCTGCCTCGAAATATTTGTGCTATCAACAAAAATTAAGAAGCAAAGTAAGAACCAATGTATGAGCCTCTGATAAAGCAGAAATTAAATTACGTTATGAACACTCTTCTCAAATGTACATCCAATGTCATAGAAAACAGTAAAACTTTTACCCGGTTTTTCTGGCTCCACTGTATCTATTAACAGTTGATCTAGCAAAGCCAACACAAAGTACTGACTGAGTAATGAAACAGTATCTTTAGCTTTGAAACACATCTGTCATATATAGTGGAAGAGGAAACCTTACCGCTCCCCACTCTGAACAACATTGACAAATTTCAGGACGTGATCATGCCTACAAGCCATTCCAATAAGCCCTATTTCATCACATCCTTTTCATGTAGATTTTTCTTGTATGTCTGAAGCCGCTGTGTGAGATGCTGAACAGTTATCCTGATCAAAAATGAAAAAAAAAATCAGACAACGGCTCATTCACCCCTGATCCATGTGTGAATGACATTCACATAGGTGTGAATATGAATCACATGTGCGTGATTTCAATTCACATATGGGTGATTCCAATTCACGTATAGGTGATATACTCCTGAATGTGATAAAATAACACACATGTCCTTCATATTCACGCTTATGTGAATGCCATTCACATATGCATTTGCCACGCAATTTGTACATACCCCAACTCCACGAGGATCTTTGCCACCAGTTCGGGTCTTCCACTCTTCAACCTTCTGATTGTCAAGGAAGAGAGGTGGATTCTCCATTTCCATTTCCTCACACTCCCGGCTTGCAGCAAGGTGCCGACAATGTTGAAAGTTTCCATCAGTGCAGACGTGGTAATCACTCTCCAGTGGCTCCGGGTTTGCTTGAAGTGGCCCAAAAAATCGTGGGCAGTTCATAGCAAGTTGATCCAAGGCGGTGAGATATAATGCACATATTGTGAGTGCCTTCTGCTTGCGTAGCATATATCGATATGCATCAATTGCTGAAGATAAAGTTTTCCGCCAAAGTCGAGGCTTAAAAAGGTACATGTGTAGCATGTTAGATCATTCTGAATTGAAATATTCAATTGCAGACAAGTGGTTTACTTGCCTGATTTGTTTTTCCAACCAATATTAGCGGATTTGCTGGGTCTAGGAATTCATCCAATGCCACCAAAAAGCCTTGGGTTCTCACAGTGCAATACTTCCAGAATGAATGATGCATCCTAAGTAGCCTGATTGAGTATGCGGCTTGAGGATGAACTCGGGATCCTCCAATGTAACCCATTCTGAGGAGCCGGACTTGATCCTTGGTACATTTACAGAATAGAATTTCTACTTGTTTCCACTCTAGAGACATTCAAATCAATTGGATATATGTTAACTTTACACACAAACATGCCTCATTCACACCTGTGTCTTCATATGAATTCATTTCACATAGAGGTGAATTCAATTCACATAGAGGTGAATATAAGGCACATAGAGGTGAATTGAATTCTCATAGAGGTGAATTAAATTCACATAGGGGTGAATATAAGTCACATAGAGGTGAATTCAATTCACATAGAGGTGAATATAAGTCACATAGAGGTGATTTCAATTCACCTGGAGGTGAATATAAGGCACATATAGGTGAATTGAATTCTCATAGAGGTGAATTAAATTCCCATAGAGGTGAATTGAATTCACATAGAGGTGAACTCAATTCACATATAGGTGAATATAAGGCACATAGAGGTGAATTGAATTCACATAGAGGTGAATTTAATTCACATAGAGGTGAATTCAATTCACATATAGGTGAATTCAATTCACATATAGGTGAATTCAATTCACCCAGGGGTGAAATATGATGTATTATAGAGGAAAATACCACTCACCCAAAATATCTAACATATCAACCTTACGTGTTCTGAGGTCCCCCACACCACTGCAACATTGTTTGTTGTGATCATAGTTCCATTTGGTTGTATCACCCCATTGGGAAGTTTCCTGCGAGTAGGTCATGTAGGTAATGAACATATCCGGCAGAGCCTTCTTCCAGTTTTCATTTTCAGGTTTTTTTGCTTCTGTAGAATGATCCTTGCATATAGGTGGCAAATGGAGCATTGGGATCCGGTGCAACTGCCGCATCCTCTTGAGCAGGAAGGAAATTATTTATGTCGTCATAGGCATCCTCGTATACCATGTTGTTGTTGTCTTACAGGTTGTCGTGGTGTTGGTTGGATTGAGCTTCCACTAGCGAAGGTTCCTGAACCGCCTTAAGTGCGTTTTCAATTTCAATCAGACGCTTATTGACATATTGAGCTTCACTCGCGTCAACTTGGTCAACAATTATTGCAGAGCCTTCGGCATCTTCCTTTGTTTGCCCTTTCTTTTTTGCTCCACCAAGTGGACAATGAACTGGTGTTCCTTTATTGGCCATAAATGAAAAGATAGAAAGATAATGTGTGATCTTGGATTGTGAGGTAAGAGTCTTGGATCGTGTGGTTGAATGTGTTAAACTGCTTTTGGCCAGTCATATACCACATGACAAGGGGGACAATTGAAAATTTTCATTCTCTCTCTCTTGTATCCCTTCACCCAACCACAGGCCACCCACAGACAGGTGGATAGTCCGTCCCTGTCTTCCAAATTGGGCTATACAATTGTGTAGACCCATCACTAACAGAGTGACGGGTTGAGCCACCCCCAACCATTTTTTTTCTCACCAGGTGGTAGTCTTACAATAGCGTGGGAATCCTGTATGTACAGATACACACCCTGAATATGTACCCCATATTTGAAATACTATGGCCCCATTAGGTCATGTCCCCTGAGCACCGGGCCGGAACTGTATATTTTCTTGATATTCCTGGTATTTGAAAATTTCCTCTCCATCCTCCTCATCTTCAACTTTTGATCCTTCCTCCACCAGTGTACTTACCTCAGTCCTACCATGCGACCCACCCGGGCTCGTTCAAATGGTGCTCATGCCTCATCCACCTCGTATAACCGGAAAACGCAAAATTCAAAACGCAAAGTTTCATTTGATTCCACTGCCTCACAACCTTCACGAAAACGTATACAATCCCATACAGTTTCCACCTCCAAACATGCCTTGACTACTTGAAAAAGCAGTTGTACCCATGCAAGTCAGGATCTAGAAGAATCATTGGATGACGATTACAAAAACAAAGAAGAGCTCTCGGATGTCTCTGATGACTCCAATCCGGACATTCAACTTCACCTTCGACCCAATTGAGGGGGTCCCACCCCTCCGAGTTCCAATCACGACAAACAAGCCGTATTAGAAGAAGATGATGAACTGTTTAATTGCCTGGCAAACCAGTTCGAGTCCTCTCAGGAACCGAGTCATGAGCAGGCTTCAAACCCCCCCCAAAGGCAGATCATTACTCGCTCAACCGATTGAAGTGTGCAAGAACCAGGCCCTACTGACCAAGCACCAGTCATCTTACCATCTATTAAAGATTATAAGAGCAAACTGGACAAATGGCCGCCTGCTTGAATAGCTGTACATGAAAGATCTCAAAAGAAAAAGGGGACTGCGGTTCCACCTCTTATTTTGAAGGAAGCAAAGGTGCTTTGTAAATTATACAAACACCAAAAGGCCATGCTTGTGATTATGGGAAACATCAGCAGATTCACACTCGATAAAGCACTGTCAGTACCAAGCTTTCCATCATTCTGTAATGGAAGTTGACAAATTTCTTTTCAGGGGTGAGCTCGCGGGTTGCCGAAAGTCTGGAGGTTTTCAAGTATGGTTAAAGTACAGTAAGGAAAAAGATTGGCATTGAAGTAACTTTCAACACTTGTAATGAGTCTGATTATATTAATAACTGACAAATTACAATGTATTTAATCAAATTTTAGTGCCACCCAAAGGCAAAAGAGGAATACTGTCCCAACAAAATTGTGATCTTGGTAAAATTTGGACCGCACTTCCTGAGGATCAAACCCGTGTTTTCCACCCATCAGTCTTTTGTGTCCTATCCGGCCTCACTCCTCCTCATATGAAAGATAGTGATGACAAAGATGAATTTCAACCTATAGACCTTGAACCTGCAGAACGTGCTGAATTACAAGTTTTGTATGATGAGTATGTAAACAAAGGGAAAGTTGCGAAGGAGTATGCTAAGGTGGCAGCTGGGATGCCTCAAGGTCCCACCTTACCTGATCACAACCGTCAATCTCTGAAATCTATAGAGTGTATTCACAATCAGGTAATGTGTTTGATCTCGGAATTAATATCTTCTTCTGTATTGATTCCGATTGACAATAGTGATATGTTTTTAATTTGATAGTTAGAAAACGAAGCAAACAATAGGAACTTCTCCTATTATCTCTTAGCTTGTAGCACTTATGCTTCTTCCAAATGTTGTTCCGCTGCCCCGGGATGGTGCAGAGAGTTCACCTCTCATGAAGAAATGGCGCTATATGTCAATAAGAAAAGCAATTTTTCAACTGTTTTTGCCGTAAGAGCCCAAGGTCTTTCCGTTTCAGAGGCTGTTGCCCAAACAATTGGAGGAAATGTTATGTTGGAAAGTGAAAAGGTTCGAAAAATGGACCCTGGTGATAAAGTGAAGGGGGATCTGGCGGCTTTGCTACGTCCAGTTTTCAGTAAGCACTCGTCTGCCCTTGCTTATATATATATATATATATATTGTTTACCTGACTTGTGGGACTCATT